GCATCCACACACCCAACAGCGGCAAGTGTCACCTGGACAAACATGGCGTGTACTTGGGTCGGGATTCGGTGAGACACGACAATGCCTTTCACAATGTGCTTTATGATTGCACGTGTACACACCTACATGCAATAATGCTATTGCTCCATCCTTGAGGTGTTGAGCACTCTAGGCAATCCGGGAATTCTTGCTATTGTACTCTGATGCATGTCTTGTCATAATGTATTCAAGTGCTACTAAGTACCATGCGTGAATTGTAGGATTGTTGATTGGACAGCGTACCACCAATGCATCACAAACATGCACAGGCTAATGAGTATGTATGTATAACCCATAGCCATTCTGGTCGTGGGGGTGCCATGTGTGTCATAAGGCAGCAGCATCAAAAGGAACAGAAAAAAGAAGAAAAAGACCGAAAGAAACCTAACTACACTGATAAACAAGCTGCCTATACCTATCACGATCAGCAGCAACGAGAGAGAGAGAGAGAGAGAGAGAGAGAGAGAGAGAGAATTGCAAGATTCATTGGTCTTTGATTTGCTATTGGTGAATGGGTAGTAATGACTATAATAATAAATAAAAACAGCTCGCTTGTAGTCCATGAGTGAGACCCCATGGGGTTAATGCACCTGTCGGTAAATGAGAAATAGAAAACGAGAAGCAGATGTACACATTTTCTCCATGCTGTTATTTCAAGGGAAAACTTCCTCAATCCCATCACTAGCCTAGGCATAAGGAATATTTATTTTGCATAGAAATTTAGTCAGTCTTCAGATAGTGAGCCAAGGAAAATATTAAATGGAAGCAAGGAAAACGGCGGGGCACAAGTTATGCGGTTAGAGCTACCTTGTGTACGTCTGAGTGTTCAAAATCTGGTTAGTTGGCGGACTCTAACGCATAACTTATGCCCCGCCGTTTTCCTTGTTTCCATTTAAGAACTTTAATCGCCAAATGTTTTTAGAGTAAACGTAGATATCTTCAGCATGGCAAGTTAGTACATTGATCCACAATGCCGAGCCGATATAATATTTTTCTCTGTTTCGGCAATGGAAGCGTTTTTCATTTTTCATTAACTTGACACTGTGCTGTGTAGTACACTGTGTTTCCATTCTCACCCTCTGCTGCTGTCTTGTGATCTGTCATGTGCACACACTGTACAGGACTACCCGTCTATAGCGTACATGCGCTACGTCCTGGAAAGGGAAAACATACTGCCCATATTCATGACGGTGGACTCGCAAAAACCCTGGTTTTCTGTAAGCTAAAAGATCACGGCGCCTAATTTTGAATTTGTTCCACTTGAATCCTTTTGAAGGATGACTGTTTATCTCCTTTTCACCCTTTCTCTTTGTTTCTGCCTCTGTCAATCCGTCTGTGTTCATTCTCCTGCTATTCCGTTCATTTGTTTTTCCCCCATCCCTTTTTTCTTCTTTCTTTGTCCGTTTTTCTGTTTGTCTGCAAGTCCATACGTATATCTATCTGTAAGTGTCTTTCTTTCTCTCACTACCTCTCATGAAGAAGTAACTGACTGTCACACACCACCAGGACTCGAACCAGGAACCCTCCTCGCTTAGGGCAAGCGGAGCTCTACAGCTATATCATGGTGTAGTCATCATCCGAGCAGCGACCGTTCAACAGATTCTTTAGACTTCAAATTCGAAACTCACGCTTCCTGTGAATCCACGTGTGTGTTGTTGTCGGTGTAATGCATGGCATGCTCACACACCCCTCATGGCATGCTCACACACCCCTCATGGCATGCTCACACACCCCTCATGGCATGCTCACACACCCCTCATGGCATGCTCACACACCCCTCATGGCATGCTCACACACCCCTCATGGCATGCTCACACACCCCTCATGGCATGCTCACACACCCCTCACGGCATGCTCAGACACCCCTCATGGCATGCTCACACACCCCTCATGGCGTGCTCACACACCCCTCATGGCGTGCTCACGCACCCCACATGGCATGCTCTCACACCCCTCATGGCACTCTCTCTGTTTTTGGTGGACAAAAATATCTCTGGCGTTGATTGCTTTCTTGCTTCGACTTCTGCCGCGCCTTTGTTCTCGTACTCCCCTTTATGTACAAGTGTTGTGCAGACCCTCCCTTAATATAGTCTGTCTCATTTTGTCCTGAGATGTTTTGATGCATAGTGATTATGACGCTCATCATTCGCTCCCTTGTCACTGGACAGTTCTGTCCGTTTGGTTTTAGCGAATTCAAATAAAGAAAACAACAACAACACTCTCACACACCCCTAATGGCATGCTCACACACCCCTCATGGCATGCTCACACACCCCTCATGGCATGCTCACACATCCCTCATTGCATGCTCACACACCCCTAATGGCATGCTCGCACACCCCTCATGGCATGCTCACACACCCCTCATGGCATGCTCACACACCCCTTTTTCGTTGTTGTTTTTTTCCTGTCACTCTAACACCTTTTGCGCAGTCGGTTGTCAATGAAATGCAATCAGCAG